GAAGGCGATCTTGATGGACTCGGGGTCGATGAAGGACGTGCCGCTGGTCAGCGGGATGCGGCAGACCCTAGAGGTTGTGGGGGAGAAGGAGCTCAGCGAGCTGGGGAAGTACTGCACGTCATGCCGCGCCGTCACGTAGCTGGTGTTGCTTGTTTTCAGCTTGTAGTCCAGGCTCTGCATCAGCTCATCCTGGGCTCCGGCGGTGACTACCTCCATGCTTGTTTATATACACGCATTTTGACTCGTACGGCGAAGGAACATGCTATTCTTCTAGGGCCTACATCAATGTAGGGCCTGTAAGAATAGCGTTTTGTGGCGCAAAACCGTGCAAAACAAGCTATTACTCCAGGGCCTACATTTGCGTAGGCCCTGAAGTAATAGCATTTTGCAGCGCAAAACCGTGCAAAAGCTATTAGTCCAGGGTGTATATTCATATACGGCCTGGACTGATAGCATTTTTGTTGCGCAAAACCGTGCAAAAATAAACTCTCCCCGAGGAGGGTTATTTTTTTTTTAAGCAGCCTCAATGTCTCGCGCCAGCTGGTCAAAGCTGGGCGGAGGCAGGCTCCGGCGTGACTGCCCGGAACTGGAGCTCGCCCGCGAGCTCTGGGACTGGGGCAGGGCCACGGGGTTCAGGCCCCAGGAGAAGGGGCGCGGCGTGTTGGACTGCGCCTGCACGCGGAAGCCGGACTGCGAGGAGGCGCGGCTGCTTGCGGGGCTGCCGGACGTGCTGCTGCCGGTGCGCAGCGTGAAGTGCTGAGGCTGAGTGGCGTCGTTCATGTTGTTGGCGGACCGCACGTCCTGCACGGCCGCGTCCTCGCTGCCCTGCTGCGGCCGGAAGAGCGTGTTCTCGAGGACCCAGCCCGTGCCGCGCGCGAGGCCGTAGGCTGCGCCGCCTGCGATGCCCACGGCCAGCCCCGCCGTCGCCGCTGCGCCAACTCCCGCCACGCCAGCCAACGTTCCAGCAACCTCGCCCGCCGTGGGTGCGAGGGCTGCTGCTCCTTCAGCCAGGCCCCCCAGGTATGCTAACTTGCGCAGTGGCCGGTTGCGGCGCGTGTCTTCTATGAAGCCTGCAGGTTTCGTAAGTCAAACAGATGCCCTGTGTTAACCAGCCTGTTGGTGGCTGCTTTCGCAAATTGAAAAGTGTAGGAAAGCAGCCAGCATTTCTGCTGCAAGATTTGGCTTGACAAGGTCTGCAGCTTCTTGCCTTGGACACACTATCACAAGTTGCCTGGTCTTCTCGCACGGACACACTGGTGAAGTCACTGGTGACCTGTGTCTTACACACACAGACACAGCGCGCCGCTGGGTGTGCCGGTCTACCCCCAAAGCCTGGCTTACCCTGTGGCAGGTCGCAGACTCTTGCGCTTGTTCACGTTGGCTTGAATCGGCTTGAAGTCCACAATTTAATTTGATCGTTGGAGAATGAGAAGCTGAGAAGAATCGCTCAAGCTGAGTCTAAGTCTGCAGTCAAAGCTTTCTCAAATTGTTTGTTTGGTCTCCCCGCGCAGAGCCCCGGCGGGCGGCCCACGGTCGACCACACCGTGTCCCATCAGCCTGCGACAGCCTGTGTCTTAACACACAGCGCAGCGCGTCGCTGATGGGCGGGTAGGCCCGAATTCAGGATTGGAAGATGCCCACTATCTCAAATCGCTTAGTCGCCGCGCCGCGGCGCCGCGTCGCGTTGTCTCTCACTCCCCATACGGCCCGAGTCCGAGTGGAAGCTCACAGTCTCTTCAAGTCTCTTCGTGTTCACAAGTTCACAGATGATTCACAGCTTGTCCCTGGCCTGTCACTGTCACTGTCACTGTCACGAAAGTCTCAAGGACTCCCCATACGGAGTCTCGACGGCAACTCGACGGTGGACCACGCCGTGCAGGCTGGCGGCTGATGGGCGGGGCTGGAAGGTTCGAAGTTCGAAGTTCACAGGTTGATTCTCACAGACTCAAATCGCTTGGTCTCCCCAATCAGAGTCCCGGCGGACGGCCCACGGTCGACCACACCGTGTCCCATCAGCGCGCGGGAGTTTACCCCCGCGCGCGCTGATAGGATGTTCACAGCTCACAGATTCAAATCGCTTGGTCTCCCCATACAGAGTCCCGGCGGACGGCCCACGGTTGACCACACCGTGTCCCATCAGCGCGCGGGAGTTTACCCCCGCGCGCGCTGACAGGTGGGTAGGCCCGAATCGCTAACGCAAGGTTGGAAGTTCGAAGGATCGAATTCGAAGATCACAGATTCAAATCGCTTGGTCTCCCCACACAGAGTCCCGGCGGACGGCCCACGGTCGACCAGGACCACACCGTGTCCCATCAGCGCGCCGCGCGGGAGTTTACCCCCGCGCGCGCTCGCCGCGCTGATGGGTGGGTAGGCCCGAATCGCAAACGCAAGGTTCGAAGTTCGCAGCTGACAGATTGATTCAAATCGTGTGGTCTCCCCATACAGAGTCCCGGCGGACGGCCCACGGTTGACCACACCGTGTCCCACCAACGCGCGGGAGTTTACCCCCGCGCGCGCTGATGGGTGGGTAGGCCCGAATCGACGAATGCAAGGATGTTCACAGATTCAAATCGCTTGGTCTCCCCATACAGAGTCCCGGCGGACGGCCCACGGTTGACCACACCGTGTCCCATCAGCGCGCGGGAGTTTACCCCCGCGCGCGCTGACAGGTGGGTAGGCCCGAATCGCTAACGCAAGTTGCCGCAAGGTTGGAAGTTCGAAGGATCGAATTCGAAGATCACAGATTCAAATCGCTTGGTCTCCCCACACAGAGTCCCGGCGGACGGCCCACGGTCGACCACACCGTGTCCCATCAGCGCGCGGGAGTTTACCCCCGCGCGCGCTGATGGGTGGGTAGGCCCGAACGCAAGGTTTGAAGTCCACAGTTGGCGACCGTGAAACGGCGTCGGCGCTTTCTTCAATTTCCACGCGGGCCTGGCCTGGCCTGGCTGAGGAGCCAGGACTTGCAGAGGCTGCAGAGGCTCCGCTACCAGGACCATGACAAGCGGAATCTTCAGTTTTCACTCCCTGCCGGGCCTTCACTGCGCGGTTGCGTCTGCCCAACCAAGCAACCCGTTTGGAAGACAGCGTGCCACAGACCTGCGCAAACACCTAGATGAAGACCTATTCATATACAAGGGTGTTACAAGGGTAGTTGGGGACTGGGGAGGAAAAAGACCTAGTTGCGCGGGCAACAAAAATGTAAAGCCTGTAAAGCTGTGGGGGCCCACATCCTCAGAGTCAGAGGTCACCCTCAAGCCCCAGCAAGCTCCTCAAGCTACGTTTGCAAAAAAGCAGAAACTTGAAACTTTAACCCCAGAGGATCTTTTGGACTTTTGGGACGATTACGCAATTGACAATGCCCAAAATGCCCTAATGCCACCGATGTGTCCATTTGAAGTTCAACAACATTGCGCAAAGAGCAGAAGCGCGAGCAAGAAGACAATCGCAGCAACGCAACGCAACATGGAGAGTGAAATTAGACAGCGGCTGGGAGCTGGGAGCGTCATTTTGGCCATGAATAAGAAGATCAGTGAGGTTTGCGGTTTGCAGCTTCATTGAAGAGATGTCTGGCCAAAGCCGGCAAAACACAATGACTGACGGAGGTCGCCAGGGTGCTAAGATGCGCCCGCCCATACATGTAGGATCATGTTGGTTACGCGGCTATGCGCAAAGTATTCGCAGAAGGACATGAAACTATGTGTTGAGCCTAATAGGAAACCGCTTGCTGCGACACGTGCGCATGAGCCAAAAGAAAAAAACAACAAGCGGGGAAATCGGGATGGGTTCGGTTAGGGTTAGGTTGCAACGCAACACGGCAGCGAGAAGAGCGCCAGCACGAAAATGTGTTCCAGCGCAAGGCGAGCTTCAAGTTCCGCAATGTCTTATGTCTGTTCTTGAAACGCGTCAAAAATCAAAATCAAGCATCTCAAGCAACTCCCGAAGCCCGAAGCCCGAGCCGAAGCCCCTTCAACCCCGCAATCACAACAAAAGCACCCTAAAGGCAAAAGGCGCGAGAGCGCGAAAGTTCCACGCCACTGTCTCCAGCTCCACAATCGACAACATCAGACATGAAGCACTGAAGCACCCCAAACCCTAAGCGGCGCGTCCAGACATTTTACCGCCATCAATCTGCTTGCAAAGACCGCCGCTCAGTGCGCTCCACCCGACCCGACCTGGCAAGACAAGCGCCAAGCAGGCAAACGTCAAAAACATCTCGTTTACTCAAGCTGCCAACCATCAAGTCATCAAGTTGCTCAAGATTCGATCAACATGCAAATGTTCGTAGCCTGGCTTCCAACAATCGCAACACATTAAAAACAAGTTGAAAATGGGAAGGTTCCTGGACAGCATGGCTGGCCTCCGGAAAGCTGCCAGGCTGCCACAATGGACTCAAATGGACTCCCTGCGCAACAGCCAAATCTCAAGGCACACCATGAAAGAGCAATGGCCTGGGCTTCCGAGACCGAGACCAGTTGCCTGTGGAAGCCTGGGCCAAACTCTGCTTACGAGCAAGCAAAACTAAATCTTGGGCCGCTGCCAACCACCACGCAAGTCCTCGGCGAACCTGCCCGCAGGCCACAAAACATGCCTATCAAACGCTTGGCTAACATGGCCTAGAATTTGTCAAGATTCGAATCCTCATCAGCCTCCTGTTCAAAATGAAGCCAGAGCACCTCCAAGGATGGCCACGCAACCAGAAAGACCAAAAGCTTGTGGCAAGTCGCAATCAAAGCTCACCGAAAGGCAAATGCACAAGTGAATCTTTCTCAGCTCGCAAATCGCCAGTGCCAGAGCTTGCAGCAACATCTACGGCGGGCTCAAAAAAGGCGACATCGAACTGGCGGACGCGGCGGACCCAAGTGACCCAAGACTCATGCAGCTCGCGCCACGGCCTAGCGGCCCAGCCCCCTTCTTCTTGTTAGGAGTCCTGTATGCGCCTGCTGCAGGGCTACTGATGTCTGCACACTCTTGAGCCTCTTCACCTCTTTCACCACCACCTCGTACATCTGTCGGCGGCTTGGGCTCTGGCACAAGGAAGGATCCCAGGGAAAGGCCCGAGGCGGGGTGCGGCTTCACCTTGCGCCGCAAGTTGGCGATGACATATGCGCCAAGCAGCCCAGCAACTGCTCTGTGCATGGCATTGCCAGCCATAGATTTCCAGCAGTGCTCACTGAAGCCCATCTGCTTGCTCACGCACATGATTTGTGGCCAGTTGCAGGGCGCCACCTTGTCATCAAGCTTTCGGAAGCAGGGAACTCCTTGAAACAGGAGGTGCTCAGACGCCAAAGCCAAGCGTTCCTTTGTGTTGCTCCAAAGAAGGCTTCCGCGAAGGAGCACTGGAACAAAATCGTTTGTCTTTGTCCAATCCACTTCCTGTTGAACGTCGCAGACCCAACTGTGCACTTCAAGCCCGCGCATCTTCTCCTCTGTGTTTTTGAGCCGCCGCTTCTGAGCAGGAGTCAGGAGTGCGCGAGCATCGATGTGGCCATCAGCGCTGACCTTGTGCTTCTTGGCGGCAGCCTCTTGCAGCCAGCAGGCCACGTCCCCCTCCGGAGCCACCATCAAGTCTGAGCCAAGCAAGGTCGGGGACATCCCAAAGATCTGTAGAAAGCGCGTCACATCGCCAGTAAAGAACCAGCCCCTGCGCAGGACTCCCACTGTGTACCGCCTTGTCCTCCGCACAGGCCATCCTAGGTGCTCCGGAGAGACCTCAAAGGCGTGGAGAGCATACCTGACAGCCAACGCAGTGCAGCACTTTGCACAAGAAAGAACAAACAGAAAACAAAAAAACTCAAGCTTACAACTTCCAACAGCATACAACCGCACGACATGCTCATTGACTCATTGCTCATAATGAAAGCATTTCTCAAGGTGAAGCAAAGCACGCCCCTGAAAGGAACTCGGACAAAATATCCTCATCATGGGCAGTAACGTTCTCGTGGATGACAATCTGGGACAGGTTGCGAAGGGTCACGCAAACCCAGACTACAAACACAAAAAAATTGCTTGCTCCGTCTTGCAGTCTGCTCTTGTTCATGCGAGACCACTGGTAGCACTCTGTTCCAGAAATTCTCACGCGCACTGTCTCTGAGGCGCAGCCTTGGCGTGTCACCGGCGCAAACTGCCCGCTGACCATGTCATACTGGGGTCTGTTCTTGGGCAAAAACTCTTCCATGTTGCCCTTGATGCGGTTCGCCACCTCTCTATAAGCTTTCTTCTTGACTTCAGGAGGCTCATCTGCGTTGGGCAGCATCTCATAAAGCATCTCCAGCTTCTCGTGCGGAATCTGCTGCACCAAGTCTCCAAACACACGCGTCCGCTGGTTGCGGTTGCCTCCAAGCCTGCCATCCGGACCGTCGCCTTCATCCGAGACCAGCAGCTTCAGCAGAGCTTGGCAGCTGGCGTCCTTGTCGCAAACACTGTGAATGCACACCTGAGCATCCTCCACTCCTGCATTCTTCAACGCGCACAGCAAGCCGCCCTCCCCGTTGCCGCTGCCACTGTGGTCCGAGTCAATGACTATGCCTTGCTTTAGGCGGTGCTCAAGGTTGTTCGACAAAGAACTGTCAGCCATCAACTTGGTCTTCACTGCGCTGGCCCACTGGAAGAGGTCCTCCACGTTGTCTGGCCCAGGCGGCATGGGAGGCAAAGCAGCGGCCTTTGCCTTTGCCTTTGCGGCTCGGCTGGCACCGGCACTGGCAGGTCGCTTCATGGCTGGAGGAGGCCTAGAAGTTGCAACCTGAGCTTACTTCACTCCTAGATGCATCACATTGGCTCAATGGCCTGAACTTGAGAAGCAAATTTGCACTTCGCACTGCCCAACTTCAGCCCGCAGCTGCACAAAGTTGCAGCAACCACTCCCAGCTTCTCGTGTAGCTTGAACTTTGCACAGCACTTGCGCCCGGCACTTTCTCAAACCCAGCCTTGCGACTGCGTGTCTGAGAACTGCCAGGTCTGACCTGCATGCGTTTGCAGCCCAAAGCAAAAATTGCAAACAGACATGGCCTGGACACCACCGGATCTGGCACAGTGAAACTCCAACAACCTCGCCGCTGCTTCCTGGCAGCAAGCGTATACTGAAGCCAGCATCCTAAGCCCTAAGCTAACATCAACTCACATCTGTAAGAAATGAGGATCTGGCGCAAACTCCAACATCAACCTCGCCGCTTCCCTTCCTGGCGCAAGCGCGCACAGTTGCCTGTTGCCAGCATCCTAAATAAGCTGACATCAACTCACATCTGACGCTGACAGAACTAAGGATCTGGCACAGTGAACTCCAACACCAACCTTGCTGCTGCTTCCTGGCCGCAAGCGTGTACTGTACTGACGCCAGCATCCTAAACCCTAAGCTAACATCAACATCAACTCACATCTGACACAACTAATCATCTGGCACACAAACTCCAACAGCACCCTCACTGGGACCCTCACCGCTACTTCCTGGCCGCAAGCGTTTAGCGACGCCTTCGCCCTATACGAAATCCTAAGCTAACATCAACTCACATCTGTCAGAACTAAGGGTCTGGCGCAGTGAGGCGCAGTGAAACTCCAACATCAACTTCGCCCCCCTGACCTGGCCGGAAGTGTGTACTGTCGCCAGCATCCTAAACCCTAAGCTGACATCACAACTCACATGACGCTGACAGAACTAAGGATCTGGCACAGTCATAGTGAAACTCCAACATCAACCTCGCCGCTGCTTCCTGGCCGAAAGCGTGTACTGACGCAGCCTCCTAAACCCTAAGCTAACATCAACTCACATCTGGCGGAACTAAGGATCTGGCACACCGAAAACTCCAACATCACCCTTGCCGCTACTTCCTGGCCGCAAGCGTTTACACGGCGACCTAAACACTAAGCTAACATCATAACATCAGCTCACATCCGGGCCGCTGTCAACTCATACAACCGATGCGTTCAAAAATGTCGCGCCTTTTGCTGCGACATTTTGGGCCCTCCAGAGGCCGCGCAACATCCCCAGCCTCGCCAAGCTCAGCCACAAGGCTCAAGGCAACACACAACCCAGCAAGGCAACATCAGCTGCAAAGCCAATGAGGGCCTATCTGACGCCAATTCCAGGGAGCTTATTTTTTGGGAGACTTTTTGGGCCTGCAATCAGAACGAAGGATCTGGCGCGGCAAGACTCCTACAGCACACACCGGAGCTGGACCCCGCCCAACCAAAAAACCCCCGTTTATGGACCATTGTTAGGACCCCCAACCACTCCAACATCATACTTCCCTCCTCATCAAAGCTTGAAGAAAGCAGACCACCCTTCGCGCATGGCCTTGAAGGAAGCCAGGGCGTGGAAGACCATCATCCTTATCCTGAAGCAAAACTCGATGCAACCCATTCAGGCTTCATTCAGGCATGACAGCGCGCACGTGCCGTGACAGAACAGCTTGCCTGACACGATGTCATATTTTCCACCAAATGCCAATCGCCGAATTGCCAATCGTGGCATCAAGTCTTTTGCACTAGTCCTCTTCGGCAAGCGTGTTCATGTAGTCCAGGACCTCTTTCATCTGCTGCTGCACTTTTTCCGACTCTCCCCAATTGGTCATGGCGAGGATTTGCTTCATAGTTTCCACGTCACCTTCCAAGTTGCGCCAGCTGCACCAGCACGAGCGAAGGAACACGCTCTTGCTTTCCAGACCAACCTCCCAGACCATTGACATGGGCGGCACATACAGCAAGTCATACTCGGTCAGCACAATCCGTCTCATGGACTGTGTCTCAAAACACTCTGTGAGATGTTCCAGAAGGTAGGCGCCGTTCAACCAAGCAGTCCAGTCAGTGGCTGGACCAAGATTGGAGCACACACTCAAGTAGGTCTGCAGCGGCATGATCAGCATATCCAGGCCGCCCTCCAGCACCAGCAAAAAGCGCGGCGTTTCAGCCACACTCACTGTCTGCTGCCCGCCAAGAACTCCCACCAAGGCCATGGCACACAGGCTGCTGACCCTCTCGCTGGCCTGCTGACCATCCTTGCACATCTTCGCCATGGAGTCGCCCTGCATCTCTGTCAAGATCTGCGCCACCTGTGTCCCAGTGCCATCCTGGATCTTCAGGAAAGCACGGCCATGCTTCTGTGCTGGGGCAGATGATTCGAACTGCGAGCTGAACATCATGAAGCGGCCATGCACGGCAGCGTCAGAAGTCAGAGCAGATTTCAGGCTTGCCTCATCATGCAAGACCCACGGAGCGGCCCACAGCTCATCAGCATTCTCGTCCCGATTCTTCAGGAAGCTCGCCTGGTCAGAGAACAAGAGAACTTCCTTGACACCCGGGCCGCCGTCATCCTCCAAAGCAGCCAGACGCTTGGGCATGGTATCAGCCTTGCTCTTTCGCTGTCTCTTCTGGCCCTTTTTCGCTTTGTTCTCCTGCTCCTTCTTCTTCTTGGTTTCTTCTCTGGCAAGGCGTTTCTGGTCCGCTTCCTGCAGAATTTGCGAGGGGCCGAGGGGGGGTGGTTCATTGGAAAATGATTGAAAAATGCCTCCTCAAAAAAACTTAGGCGTGTTCTTTTGAAAAAGGCACTTCCCTGGAAAGCTGCTGTGGAAAAACACCGCACACGCAAATTCAAACAGAAAAAGCTACATGTTCGAGCCGCTCGACTTGAGCCCGAGTCCTCTTGCTTCTTGCGCAACTTCTCTCTCTGCCGGCAGTCTTTCACAGCCTTCAAAACCTCTTGCATGGCAGTTGAAACTGCGCTGTTCAATTGCTTCAGCGCAGTGCTTCCGCCGGCAATCACATTGATGATCGTCTGCAGGTCATCTTGCGTCTCTGCGGTCTTCAAACTCAGGATGCGAAGCGCCAGTGAGCCAAAGCTGCAGAGACAATCGGGCTGCGCACAGGGCTTGAGTTTGAGCTGGCCGGCACAACTGGCAATCTTGGCATCGTGCTCCTTGTACTTGCTCTCGCCAATCTTCACTGCCTCCTGGACTTTGCTTGGGGCTTCAACAAGGGCAGCCCCTGCAACATCCAAGCGCTCCTTCACCAATTTCTTGTACTCTTCCAGCAACTCAGACTCCGAAGTGTCCAGCTCTGCCACCTGAAAAAAACAAATGAGATTTCACACCAAACTGACAACCATGACAACATGCAAACAACTGAAACTTGCACGTGCCTCAACGCTTAGCATGATTGAACGATGCCTTGAGAGTCGAGACCGACAATGCCGCAAACAGACTCAGCACTTCAAGCACGAGCGACGAGCATGCAGCAGACCTGGTGACCAAGCCTGCGCGTTCAACGTGTCGTAGTTCTTGCGAAACGGCATCAGGAGCACCACCTCAAACTGGTGGGCCCACTGTTCGAACGCTTTGAGCCGCTCCACTGCAAACGCCGCAGTGTTCGCACCGGCCACTTCGCTGTGCTCCGGACCACTTCCTTTGCCAGGACCCTGGCCATCCTTGGCTGCGGCTTTGGCTTTGGCTGACACTGACACTGGCAACTGAAGCGCTTCCTCTGGAGCTTCAAGTGTGGCTGCCAAGTTTGCCACAGCTGCGTCGCCTTTGGAGACTGCCCCCTCTTTGCGGCATTGGTTGGTGACCGCTGCCTCGTCGAACTCCTGGAAGAAGTCCTTGGTCTTCAACCGAACTCGTTCAGGGTAGCTTGGGTTGTCTCCTTCGTAGTCAACCACTCCAGCTGCAACTGCTGCGCCCCAGCGTTTCTCTATCTCCTGCTGGCAAACGGCAAACGCGCCAGAGGCGACTGAGGTTCCCCGGGTTTTCGGTTGACACCGTGACACCTTGCTCATTGCTCGCAGGCTCGCAAAATTCAAAATTCAAAACACAAAGCACGCACTGGGCACTGAGCACTGTTGCATTCTGCCTACTTACTTATTTGTCTGTCCTCCGTTGGGAGCAACTTCTTCTTGAAGTAAGCCTGGAAGTCGAACCAGTCCACAAGCTTGCCTGCGCTGCCGGTCTGATGCTTCTTGCTGAAGGCTTCTATGCTCTCAAGCCGTGCCAGCTTGTAACTTGCTCGAGCCTTGCCGCGCCCTCCGCTCGGACATTGGTTGTGGTAGTCTCTCACGAGCTTCCTGAAGACCTCACCGCCGGCAGCACGAACTTCTTCATACCTTGCGCTCCAACCGTTCTTGACGCTGTCAGCCTTCAAGCCCTCTATGTCACACTTGCATTCTTTGCACCACGGATGCTTGGCCAGAACTTGCTGGGAAGGGTTCTGGCATATGGGGCACACCTTGCGGCCCGAGCCCTTTGGACCCCCACCGCCTTCGCTCCCAGAGGGCCTCTCAGGCGTCTCAGGTGGAGCACTCCTTCTTTTCGGACCGGCACCGGCTTTCGCCTTCCTCTTTCCACCAGCTTTTGCCTTCGGCACCGCTGGTGCTTCTTCCAAATCCAACTCAAACTCTTCGCCGCAATCTGCCATGGGGAATCACGCTAAATGAGCCATGTCAGCCATGTGACATGTGGTGCAATGCAATCACATCTGCTGACAAAGTCAATCAAACACACCAAGCAATCGACAGCGAGCCTCCCGCAGAAGCCACCAGGCACTCTCACTCTACCTCCGCACACAGGACAAAAGAAGCCAAGTCTGCACGTGCAGATCTCAATCAATCGCAAACGGACTCAAGCTTGCCAACCGAACTTTTTTACAACAGCGCATCCCCAGTCCCCAAACCCTAAGAGTGGCCGAGTGGCTCGTCTGAATTAAATTGAGTTTCGAACGCACTCCTTGCAAGGCACAAAGCGCTTGAAATCAACATCGGCTCGTCTCAGGTGATGGCAGCCTACATGAAAGACATGACGCGGCCCTCTGCTTTGCTGGGCTGCCACAAACACCTCCTGGGGCAAGCTGCTGTGGCTCGCATTGCTTTCCGGAAAAGCACTGGTTTTGCGCCGAGCACGCAACTCCTTGATCTCCTTCTCCAACTCTCGCACGCGCTGTTCAGCGCACAAACACTGCAGGCATTGGCCATCAGTCTCAGGACTTTCAGGCTGCCACAGAGAACGACGAGCTTGCTGAGGCTGCCCTGGCACGCGTCTGCTGCAAGTCCACAAGCTTGCACAGCTTCCCAAACCAACAGCCAAAGCAACGCAAGCCGCTGCCACGAACACCTCTTCCGGAAAATAGGAGCCTGCCAGGATCCACTGAAAGCACATGGCCACCATCGCCAACAGAATATTTTGCAGCTTCCAGAAATGCCTCGAGCCAAGCTTTGCAACCAAAGGCCAAGGCCAAAGCTCTTGCAAGAAATCATCACCTCTTTGACAGGCAAGTTTGGTGCGGACATGGAACAGACCTGAGGGCCAAACCTTGGCTCCAGAAGGCGCTTGTGGCTGGCCGGTTGCCTGGCACAGCAAACTGCAGAAGCACAAGCACACTCAACCAACTTCGAAGGCCTTGGATCTTCCGGCTGGAGCCAGAAGCTCTGGCCTGACAATTCCGGGCCAATTCCGGGGAGCTCTGGACTCTGGCTGGGAAACTGCCACCGCGGCCTTGTCTCTGCCGCAAAGGGTGCGGATGCCTCAGGACCGACCACAACGGCAGGGCGCAACTTGCGGACTGCCACTTGCGGACAAAAGTTCCGGGGAGTTCCGGGGAAACCAGTAGTTCCGGGGGATTTGAGGTGTTTCTGCAGGTTTCAGAACCTGCCGGATTTCCTGGCTCCTGGGGGGGAGCTTGGCCCAAAGAGCATTTTAGAAAGGGAACCACTTTCTCCAGGACAGATTTTCACAAGTTCCGGGGAAGTTCCGGGGAGAATCGGGGGGTTCAGGGGGAAGTTCCGGGGGGTTCCGGGGAAGTTTGCACCCAACTGGTTTTGCGCAAATTGAGTTTCTGGAACGCAAAGAAAACCCAAACGCAGAGCCAGAACCCCCAAAAAATCCTAAGTACAGGAAATCTGGGGGAGAAAGCTGCCTCAGTTCATGAAATGGGGGTTCCGGAACCCCTGGCAAAGGCCCTTGGCTGACGTGCTGAAAAACACTCATCCGCTCCAAAATGCTTCAAAATGGAGGCATAGGTTATGACCCATCTGAAGTAAATCAAGCACCGAAATGGAACGGTCTGGCTCTTTTTGCTGGGCCGGGCGCAGCTTCATTCTGAATCGCTTGTGGAACTCTCGGAACAGCTGTTGCTGCTGCTCTCACTGCTACTACTGCTGCTGCTGCTTTCGCAGCAGCAGGAGGCCTTTGCTGCAGGCGCAACCTTTGCCTTTGCTCCAGCCTTTGAAGGTTTCCCCTTTGCAGGTCTCTTCCTAGCTGGCTCTGGCACTTCGTCATCTGCAGGCCGCTGGCGGTTGACAGCCTCCTCGCTGGGCAAAGTGCTCTCCAACGCGTTGAAAGATTGGTGGGCGCTCTTCGAATCGTAGGATGTTGCCATGTTGCACCAATGATGTATTCTGCGCAAAGTAATCCTCAGAGGATGGCATTCAAGCAAAAACAAAAAGGGTGGTGACCTACAACATAAACCAACAAGAAAGCAAAGCCACTTGCAGAAAAACTGTCTGGTTAATATGAATTGGGCAGCTCCTCTGTGGCTGCAACAAAGGACAAACTCTTTGTGCAGCGCGCGCTCTCGTCTCTGTGCGCCAAGCAAATGGCCTGCCAGCTTTCCTTCCCAGCCTTCGTAAGTTTGTGGGTGATTCGGAATGGCCCCCACATGTGAGTTTTTTCTCTGACCACGCGCTTTGTCGCAGCCGTATCAGGGCCCACATCCTCCCCCGCGCTGTCTCTTGCATCACGGCTGCCACCTGCGACTTCACCTGAAACCTCTGCCCTCTCATCAGCACTTGCTTCTGCGGCCGGCGCATCCGGATGTTCAGCCTCCTCTTCCGCCAACAACTTTTCCAACTCTGCTTCCAACGAGTTCTCAAACTCTGCAATCTCTGGGTCCAAGTTTTCGGAGTTGCCATCAGCATCAGAACAAGCTTCCGGGTCGGGCAAAACGTTGGCATTCGCTGGCCTTGCTGGCTGCTGGTCGTCCTGCATGCGCAAGAAATCGTCCAGCGGTCTCTTCTCCCACGCTGCCTCTGCAAAAATTTTGAAAAACTGTTCAGTTTGCGTGTGCGGCAGGGCCTGGATTCCGCACGCCAATAGCATATCACGCCTCAGCTCAACAGCCAGCATGGCTGACAAATAAGCGTGACTTGGTACGCCAGCCTTGTACACCCACATTTTGTGAGGAGGCCCAAACTCTGAAAGGATATGGCCCTCGCCCACATCCTCCACATGCAAAGACAAATCTGACCTCAACCTTGGTGGAATCTTCCGAATGCTCACGGACGCCCATCCCTTGCTCTTCAAGTGCTGGGCAATTTCGAAGCGGGTCCACTCAAGCTTCTCTGGCAAATTCCTGTGGGCCAAAACAGAGCATGGACTTCGGAGCGTGAACAACTGCTGAGATTGCTCCACAGCCTTGGGAGTTAGGCGCCAGTTGCTGCTGGTGGCAGCTGTCTCTTCTGCAAAATCTTCCTTTGCAAGCCCTTCCCTTTCCATCTCTGCCAGTATCAGCCTTTCTGCTTGGCCAGACACGCTGCCTTGAACTTTGTGGGCTTCTTTCGAGTCCGGCAAAGCTTTTGCTGCAAACAGCCTGGAAACTGCCTCGGACCACTTTGCTGGCCAATTTCCTCGCAGCGCAAAGGTGGGCTCCGGGTCAGTGGCGAACACAAACACCTTGTCCCGAAATAAAGCTTCATTCACCAATGCCACAGCCGTGGCTGCAGTCCCGGACTTGCCTAACAAAGCCGAATCTGAAATTTGTGGGCGAACAAACGGCACAACAAACTAACAAAGAAAACAAGCGAACCAAAACTGCTGCTCAGCTCAGCCCTGCAACCTTCTGGCACCCCAGTTGTGCGAAGCACCTGAGTGTCTGAATCCAGCTCCGCTATTGCGTACAAACTCACCGCCACATCCTTCGCGCAAAGCGAAGCCTGGAAGTTGCCTTGAACTTGTTTCATTCGCGAAGGATACCAGTGGTTCACTCTGAAGAGTGTGCACCTAGACAAGCCATCTTCGGGGACTATGGCCACCTGCGCAGCTCCTGACCTGGTCAAACCGGCAGTCTCATCTTCAGTGATCTGGAACTGGAATCCAGCATCGTCCACCGCCAAAGCCAGCGAAGGGCTCGTGCTCAAAGATGGCGCAGCCAAAACATCTTGCATGAGCCTGAACAAATCACTGTCACTGTCATAGCGGGCATCGGTGTCTGCGAGAGGCACAAGGGCTGCATAGTAGAGCGCAGTTGCGCTGGATCCGGTTTGCCTCCAGTGCTCCAAGGCGAAGTGCTGCGTAATGTGGTCCGCATCTGCAAGCGCCAGCTGAGGCTTCTTTTTGCTGAAGCTGGTCAAGGAAAACATGTCTTCAAAGTTCCGAAACTGGGTTTGGCGGTCACACCTGTACACAATTTTGTCTGCCACGGGAAAGGTGGCCTTCTTTGCCTCACCAACTGCAGGGTGGCCCAGCAAGCCCAAATGCTTCAAAAGCCATTTTGCGTCTCTGCACTGCGCCAAAATCGTAGCCACTTTGGATAGTACACCAGCATCAGCGCCAAGCCGACTGCTGTCACACTGCAAAGGATTTAGCAATAGAGGCGTCCGCAGAGACAAAGATAGCAAGGCTCCAGAGTGGTTTGGAGCTCGAGCTACAATTCGGTGTATCTGAGCGTGCCTGCCTTCGACGCTTCTTTCCACAATTGGAATAAAGGAGACTGGAGCCAGGGCCTTGCGCCACTCTGCCATGTCTGCATCAGTGCGACTCAATTCACCACGCATGAAGCGCAGCGTAAGCTCCCGCAACTCTCCTGCATCAAGGAGCTTCCTGCAAAGTGAAAACCGAGATGCGTGCAAACACTCACTGCCGCTTTCCTTCAAACACTGCCACTGAGCGAGGACATTGCGGGCACAGAGGCGCGCCTTGTCATCGCAGGGGTGGCACAACCCAGCCAGCGCGTGAGGGAGCGTTGTCCAGAACCCAAACTTCAACTCAAGTAGAAACTGCATTCTCTGAAGCCCTTGGGACCAATCGGCAGTGCACTGAGGTGAAGCGAGCCAAGCGCCACTGAACTCGTTCTTCAACTCGTCCAGAAAACTGCTGATCTCGCCACAGGCGAGCTCTGGGGCCCGGCGGCCTCGAAGGGGGCAAGCCTGGGACAACACCCTCTCGACGCGCCTTTGCCAATGGCAGGCACAAGCCTGCGCCCACTCTGAGATTGCGTCCACAACCTGGAACAAGGCCCTCAGCATCTGCAAGTACGGCCACAGCTCTTGGCATGTCATAGCAGCGTCAAACGCGTGAAGACGTTTTGCAGACTGACCATCACTCCCACGGCCCCGTCTGTTCATAGCCTCAAGATTCCAATATTCACGGAGAGGTTGCTCCAGCGGCTCAAACTCTCGAAGGAATATGGAAACAGACTGCCATCTGTGATCCAGAATGCGTTCACCAAAAGCAGCAAACTTGGCGTAATGAACGCTTGCTGGGCCGCTACTGAACAGAAGCGCCTGCATCCCCTGCCTGAGGATCTTGTCTGAGAGTACAGCTGCCAGCGCGCACATGTGAGCCTTGAACTCCTCAAAGTGCTCCATAGAATCTGTAACATCATGGCAAACATTGTGGCATATGTGCAAAACTCCAGGGACCTGCCATGATTTTTGCAAAGTAAAGCATCGTGCATCCCCGTGCTCCGCAAGCTCGCCGTCAAGCGCAGCATAAGGCAACACTGCAAATAGTGGGGCACGCTGCCTGCTCAGGCCGCTTTCAGTTCCAAAGTCAGTGGTAACAGAAAAGACCCGCTCTGCAAAGGCGGGCGTTGCATCGCCAGCCAAAAGGAACATCTGGTGGGCCAAGGCTTGAAACTTGTGGTGCGTGTTGGTGCGCTGGAAGCCAAGGCCTGCAGGCGCTGCCAACTGAACATCAAACCCTGTCCGCAGCTTATCCTGAATGCTTTGCAACGTCTCCAACATTCTAGCTTCAGCATTGACGTCAGTGGATGTCTCACGAAGCCGTCGCGCCTCAAACTGTTCCAAAAAAAGCTGCAACGCGCAATCAGGGGCCAAGTCGTTGGCTCCAACAATGTGTACCTCTGTTATCAGCCAATCTCTCCCACCTTGAGGAGAGCTGTCAGTGACCAAATACAAGTGGAAATCACGCAGTGCTGTTTGGTCGGGGTCGAAGCAAGATTTGCACACTGACGGGACTGCAAGGCCAAGCTTGAGACAAAACATGGCTCTCTGCAGCAGGAAAAAGGCACTATCGACCTGCAACCTCCATCGAGACACAGAAGACGCGTGCGGCATTGGCATGTCCTCGATTGCGCGCACAAGCGCATACGCCACTTGACTGGGAAAAGCCACCATGATAGACCGCTTCAGCACTGCCTGCAGATGGTCGGCGTTCTTCAACTCTAAGCTAAGCAAAACGCATTGAAGAACAAACCAGCTTGTGAATCGCGCGTTGGGGCCGTGCCAACAAAGGTGAGAAGATTGTTCACCTGCGCCAAGCAAAGTCTTGTTGACCTTGCTTCGCTCCACCCGCGCTGCTTCCATCTGCCAGGGATGAAAAAGACTCGCCATCTGGCTCGCCCAAGCTCTGCACATGGCCAACTCATGCTCAAAGTCTTCGTCTTCGTTGCAGACCTCATCAACTTGATCGGCTGGGCGCTGCCCATTTTCACATTTGGTAAGCACCTCGGCAACAGAGCTGAAGGCCTGAGAGTTCAGCATGGCTGTGTGCTCCGCGACATTTGCCTTGCTGCCTTGTTTGTTAACAGCGTCCTGCAAGCTCTGGCTGCGCTTCTTCAGCACCTTGATCCACTCAGCTTGCGGAAACCGACGTGGATATCGCCTCTTCAGGCATATTCCAACAAACTGCACCTTCTTGGCAGACACTAGCATTGCGAGGGCCCGTTCAAGGCTGCAAGCGAAGCGCACGAACAGGCCATGCTTCTGAGGAAGGAGGCCGGAGTCAAGGCAGCCCTGCAAAAAATCAGCTCCAACAGCTTGCGCCCAGGCGCTCGTTCTCTCAGCCAATGGAAAAAACGCCAGCCGTGGTGTTGGTTGGGCGCTATGCGACAAGCACACCATGTCGTGCTGCTGCAGTGGCAACATTGCAAGAATATCAAACTGAGCTCTCTGCCAAGAGTTGCCCTCCACTTGTTGCCACAAAAAATCATCTTCCACTAGATGGTGACACTGACAGGTTCCAGATGGACAAAGTCGAAGCACTGCAAGGCTGTACACAACGCACCTCCCGTCCATGCACACATCACGAAAGTCGGTTTGCAATCTTTCAGCAACCTTGGCCAGCCACGCTTGGTTCTGCCTGCGTGCTCGCCGCCGGGACTGCAAAGGACGAGAGCACACGAGCGCTGCAAACGCTTGTGGAGCTTGCAAGCGGACCGGACCCATACTCCATTGCCTCGTTTTTGGCGCGGTTATTGCAACATTAAATGATGGGCTCAAACATTTGAGAGGCTAGATGCTTGACAACTGGTTTGACGGTTTGACAAATGAGAGGCTAGCGCTTGACATCCGAAAGGCTGAGACACTCGAAGCTTGAACCCAAGCACAATAGATCACACGCTGCAACGACACAGCTTGGCTCCCTGGCATCATCCCGGCTCTGAGCTCACTGAGCTCTGGGTTCCTGGCGCGCAACACGTCCCACGAGGCTTGGTGCTAAAGAGCTGGCAAAACTAAAAGTAAAGATTGCAGAGCAAGGCGTGTTTTTTGAAAAGTGATTTGTTGAAAAAATGCCCTCCTCAAAAATCCCTGATTTAGCAGTAACATTCGCTTTCGTTTTCCGTCTGAAACCAAGGTCTAAGCCCAAGGCCCTGAACACCAGGAAGCCAGCCAGCCCCGCAAAGCGCATTCGGAAACTAGATAAGCAAAGGAACAAACACGTCCCACCTTATGAGAAACAAAGCGTAAACACGTCCATGTCCCTGCTCAAGCCTAGCCTAGCTTCTGCAAGTTCTGGTGAGCAGCAAGCTTAGCATCATGCTTCGCAATTTCTCGTGTCAGTTTCTGTCGCGTGCGATGTTGTGCATTGATGCTACTGCGCTTGGCGCCGTGGGCCGTGGGTGATGCGCATGACTTGTCCAAATTAGTGCGCAGTTTGGCTGCGCAAGAAGGCTCCGGCTGAAACATCCTTAAGTTTCTACACGCAAAGGTCGCACGCGACGCGCGCTCTCGCAGCCCCTGCTTGAAAATCACCGATTTTACGCGCAGTAGTAATATTCGAGAGAGTGTGCTCCATCATCTCCAGATTGCAAATTGCAACTGATCGCGCTTCCGCATCTCCAACTTGAAAATCTTAACTTATGATTATGCGCGCAAGCGTAGTGTGCGAAGACTCAAAGGCTAGTACCTTTGTCTAAAAAAGCAAATCCATTCCACGCTCAACTTTGCCAGCTCATGGGAGTGCACTTTGCGTAGTACCTTTGTCAAAAAAAAACAAAACCATTCCACGCTCAACTTTGCCAGCTCATGGGAGCGCACTTTGCGTAGTACTTTTGTCTAAAAAACAAATCCATTCCACGCTCAACTTTGCCAGCTCATGGGAGTGCACGTTGCGTAGTACTTTTGTTTAAAAACCAAGTCCATTCCACGCCCACGCTCAACTTTGCCAGCTCATGGGAGCGCACTTTGCGTAGTACTTTTGTTTAAAAAACAAATCCACGCCCACGCTCAACTTTGCCAGCTCATGGGAGCGCACTTGGCGTAGTACTTTTGTTTAAAAAGAATTCCATTCCATGCTCAACTTTGCCAGCTGTAGCATGCGCTCGGAGCAAGTTTCAACTTGAAGCGCAGCTTCACTTTTGAGCAAGCAAGACTCACGCGGCGAAGCATCTGAGCTAGTGGCACTGCGCATCTCTGGAGAGCGCCAGGTGACCAGGTGGCCGGGCCCCTGGCAAGCGCTTCAAGCAAATTTCAACCTGTAACCTGCAACTTCAAGCTCCACAATTGATTCAATTGAGCAGGCAAGGCAAGGCCATTTTCACACAGCGTGTGGGCACCTCTTCATCAGGCTCAGGAACCCCTTGCAGCCCTCGCACTCGCGACTCGCGGCCTTGCGGCGTCCTCCGCATCAGCATCTCGAAGGAAAATCCCCGAAGCCATGATGGCGACCTTGCCGTTCGTGGAAACAAACAGGTTCTCTGCTGGACCGCTCAGCTGACAATAGTAATCCTTCTGCCTGAACTTCAAACGGCACCTGTAGAATCGTCCTTCAGCGCGGAAATACTCACTGTTCACAGTCCGAAGAACTGCCTCCACATCCTTCTTCTCCGCTTCCAACTCTCCGACCCATTTCTGAATCTCCAGCAGCAAGCAGTCGCAGGCATCCCTCAGAGCCGCAGGCACAAAGCGTCAAGTAAAAAACAAACACGAGAGGCTGCACAACTGAATCAAGCCAGGCTGCGCAAGCACCTTGCTGAAGA